TGGGTTTAGGAAATTAATGCTCGTTTTGTGGGCAAATTCACAAAACGCATCTTCGGCTTCGGTATTTCTCAGCGTCTCTCTTTGGGGCAAGCAAGCAGACTTACCGCACTCATTGCTAAGACAGAGCTGTCGGTATCAACGGGGGAATCACACGAATTCGGCAAGCGCGTGCCCCGGGAGGATACCGCACGTACCACAGGGGACGTGTGCTGCGACAGCCCAAGGGCAGTTCACTTCCAGGCAATTAAGACAGCTCCATAGTGGTTGCGAGGCGGGCTTTTGGTAGAAGCAGGAGACATTTTTAACACGTATTCCCAGCATCACGTTATAAAAGGGCAGATGACAATTCGTGTTGCATCAAGTCCTGGGACTTGCTGCCCTGCGGGATTATTGGCAAACGCGCAATTCATCTCGTACTAACAACTTGCACCGAAACATTAGATTTGGGTGCTTGAGACGGTAGCCACTGGGAGAAACCTTGAGCAGTTTTCAGAAAAAGAGCTGTTTTAGAGTGTCTTCATAAATTAAGCAACAAACTCACCAGACAGAAGCAGAGGACCAACAGACGGCACCAGATAGTGGAGCTGTGCTGCTAAACCGCTTCACTTCCGTGTCCATCAACCTCCCACCTTTTGGCTGCCCAGTGCACTGAGCTTGCTGCTGGCTGCTTGAGGCAGAGACCCTACCCCAGCTGTGCTTGTGCAACTGCTGAAGTTCTTCGGTCACGGTTTCTGAAAATGGATTTGGATTCCTTTTCAGCCCTTGCCATTGAAGCAAAAAGTTTGATAACGTGACCTGAGAGATCTCGGACCGCAGCCAAGTGGTAAAACCAAGCTGGAACGTTTTATTCTGTGTTATTCTGGAGAAGAGAAGGCTCCAGGGAGACCTTATAGCACCTTCCAGTACCTGAAGGGGCTACAAGGAAGCTGGGGGGGACTTTTTACAAGGGCCTGTAGTGACAGGACAAGGGGTAATGGGTTTAAATTGAAAGTGGGGAGGTTTAGATTGGATATCAGGAAGAAGTTCTTCCTGGAGAGGGTGGTGAGGCACTGGCACAGGTTGCCCAGAGAAGCTGTGGATGCCCCATCCCTGGAAGTGTTCAAGGCCAGGCTGGATGAGGCTTTGAGCAACCTGGTCTAGTGGAAGGTGTCCCTGCCCATGGCAGGGGGGTTGGAACTAGATGGTCTTTAAGGTCCCTTCCAACCCAAACCATTCTGTGGTTCTATGATTCTGCACAAAGCCACCAAGAGGTCTTTGGAGCTGTCAGGCACAGGCTGACTTAGCTCAGCCTGGCATTTCTGCCTTCAACCACACGTTCACAGTGACGACAGTGCTGCACACTTCTGAGAAACGCCTTTTATTGTGTGGCAGGGGTCATCATGTGAACGTCAACGTAAGAATTGTTCCATAGCAATACCAAAATCAATTTTTATTACACAAATGCCAAAAAATAAAAAAAAACACAAACAAAAACCAAAACCAACAAGAAACCCAGAGCTAAAATGATGAAAAAGCAGTGTGCTCTTACACCATGTAGAACATATACAGAAAGCCACATTCTTCTGCTAAAGCATCAGATGCTCATTACCATCATCATCGCAAATAAGGGATATCAACTTTTTCTCCTGCTATAAAACGAGGCAAACTTTACAGTGAGATATTTCAAAGGGTCAGATTAACACGAAAAGCAGCATTTCCAGGAAACTTTCTATACCATCTGGGTATTTTTTGTCCCCTTCTGATTCTATCTGCAATCTTATTTTAAACGTGTATTAGGAAGGTTAAAAGGAAACAGTCAACATCACGTAAGCCACCGGCATGTCGGTCAGAAGCAGGTCTTCCCTCTTCCCAAGGGCAGTACGAACGGTATCGCAGAAGACACCACCTGTCTGACACATGAGCTCTGCTTCAGTTCACTGCAGAGAATTTTGCCCTTAAAATAAGCAAAGCATGAGATAACCTATCCTTGAGAACCGTGCGGGGTTTGACTCTCCCAACGGTCTTTTGAGGAGGGATGGAGAAAAGATATACCGAAACGAATGTCGGAAGAACAATCCTTGAGATCAGAAGTAGTGGCTGTTTCTAGTCTTTTACACCAAACAAACAACAGTTTTGTAACTGATGATTTTCAGTATTACTGTATAAAATTATACTTATTAGAAATAAGACTGTGGAATACTTTAAGGCACCTCATGGTGAAGAAATATTTTAAAGGCTTGAATAGCTCAGAAGACTGAGTTCTTTTTCCAAGATCCCCAGGAAGGAATGTAGCTTACAGTAATTAGATTTACTATTTCCAAATAAAGCCTGAAAATGTTCAAAGTGGAAGTGTAGAACTTTTCTTTAAACGGAAACATAGAACACCTTGGCATAAAGATAATTTGTCCGTTTAACAGACCAAGACTTTCACCAAAGGCAGGCCTTCTACATCCCCGGTCCGAGTTAGGCCATTCAGGTATGTTGAACTTGTTTACTCAACTGAAATTAAATGGGTCAGTCCATCTTAACCAACAGTCATGTGAACAAAACAACTAGCGACAACAAATCCAACAAAATAATCTAAAAAAACCATCTCCTGACTAGAGTATTTTTGTTACTTTAAGCTAAAAAGACGGATGTAATGTCAATGACAGACATGAACGACTCGCTCTCAGTTGTTCTACTCAGCAATTTATGGGCTTCAAGTGCGATTTTGGAAAAAATTTGTTTTCTCTTATACTGATACTTGATACCTACAGCTAGTAGTGTCCTGCCAAAACACGTGAAAAAGCAGAATCGGCATTTTGGGAGATACCTAACATTTTTGTGCGCATTCAAAAAGCCGCGGGATCAAATTAATTCTAGCTTACAGACTGATAGCTAGATCTGTCAGGGTCTCATACCACTGAGTCCGCAGCAGCCAGCGTTTTGGAGCTCTGCTCTGAAATATAACTTACCATAGATTCATTTCAGAGCTGAAATGAACTAAAACTGTAATTATACCCTTGGTTTACGTGTGCATATCTCCTTGGTTCTGATAAAAAAACCCCCTCAAACTCAAGGTATACGACCAGGAGAACATACTGTTCTCTTAGAGTATTTAAAGTCTCAGTGTATTATACATCACATTCAGTCTCTTCTAAGAACTAACTATTTAGACATCAAACAAATTCACTATTGTAAAACACCGTTAAACTCTGGATACGTCCACACCGCTCAACTAAAAAGGCCAACCAATGAGCTCAAGCATCAGACCCCATTAAGTGCCTACACTGTCTTACTGGTCAGCTCACCCTAGCCCTGTTGTGGACCACACCAGCCAGGTCTCTCCACAACAGAGCTTGAACAGTCTGGACATGGTCCATGCCAAGAATCCCTTCTGAAAAGGCAGTTACAGACAAGATCATGCAAGGTGGAACTTTCCTGGTGCTGCACAGTCCCCTTGTGATGATGAGTCCCCTAGATGAGCATTATCCCTTGTGACTTTATGCACTCAAACACTTAACTCTGTCCTTGCATCCTTCCGCAATACAAACCCCACTCTACTAAGCTGCAGAACAGCCCTATTCTTAATTTTGACAACTCGGATTGAAAAGGAAACCACAACAAGGCACTAGATGATAGTCGTGTGCCAAGTCCGTAAGTGGACTGCACAAGCCTGGAGAAGACCAAGGGCCAAGCGATGCAGAGAAGTGGCTGGTGTGCTCTAAGAAGGATTAGCCACAAGCACTGCTTACATGAGCCAATCTGTGCAACGAGGCTTTGGGGACAAGTGGCTGTCCCCGATCATCTGGTAGTTAGCACCAGATGTAGCACAAGTCTCATGCTCTGCATCACGGCACAAAGTTCCGTTCCACCAGTATCAATGGAATCTGCTATAGCACACGGTGCTACACTCCAGAGAAGAAGTGCCAGAACCTGCCAAAAGTAGGCTAGGGACAAGAGCATTTGATCATTTAACTTCCTGCTAATGACAAAAGAGGATGCTACTACCAAACCCAGACATTTGATGCTTGTTTTTTCCCCTACCCACCAGGGAAAGCTGGCTGGTGGCACAGCAGGTAGTAAGAGGTCCTGCCCCCTTTCCTGGGATCGGGAGCCTCTCAGCCTTGCTGCAGGGAAGATGCTGCAGCAAGGGAACAAGGATTCTGCCTCTCACCACCCAGCTGACTCCTGCACAGGACAAAGTCCATCTAGATGAACCCTTGTGCTGAGGCACAGGCTTTGGCCTCAATTTACTTCTCGACAAGGAGAGAGAACCTTTGTGTTTGAATCAGTTATCCGCTGGCAGAACTGCCTGAAGCGAGAAACATTTGTGTTTGCCCCATGTGTAGACAACTGGGTGAACACTGGGTAAATAACATTTGTCTTCCAACGGTAGTAGCAAGCATCTTCAGTATGTTTTTAAAAAAACCCAGTATTTTCCATGTCCTGAAGAGATCTGTTGCCTTTTAGACTCTCCTGTGCCCTTTAAACAGTAAGATGAACAGATTTATTTTCTGCTGGACCTCAAAAGAATAGGTATCTCACTAAACATGAAAAAAATCTGAAGCAGCATAGCACTTGCTTGGCTTGGCTTTTTGTTTTGTTTTTTAAAGTATGGGAACAGTGTCTCTGTGTTAAAGTGCTTTGCTGAATCAGGTCATAACTTCTGAATACCAAACCCCTCTCTTGCTGCATTCCTCTCACTATCAGCAACAGCCATTCAAAACTACGGGTTGTACTTTCCTACCTCTTCTGGTAGGATGGTAACTTCAAACAGCTCGAGTTCAAGAGAACCCCCAATGCAAAACTTCAAATATACTGAGGTGAAATATTTCTAACACACATTTAACGAACTTGTTGTGTACCCTGCAGTTACAGCTTTGGCTTGAAGGCACAAATATTAAGGCACAATAAATGCAAATAATGTATACATTTCAATGTGTTGTGTTGAAGATAACTTTGTACTACACGGTATTTAGGTATAATGACATGTCATTCAAACATTTCCTCAAGTTATTTTAATACCTTTTTTTGGTTGATAACCTGGATAAAAAGAGGAATGTATGTTAAATTATTTAAATGTTTCTTCAGTGCAAATGTGGTAACTTTCTTCTGAAGTACAGAAGATTGAGACTGATTTTTCAGCATTCAGATTGTAGCAAAATAAAACTAATATTTACATTCAACTTGAACGGCGTTATTTGAACTATATAAAAAAAAGTGTATTTTTGCTATCCAAAAGAAAAAGTAGTTTTGGCTTGTTCTTTCTGCTACCAACCTGCATAGCTACTTATGACAGGTAGAAGGACAGTTGCACTAGACAACTAAGTTGTACACTTCCAAATCTGCTGTCGTGCTAAAGTGACGCTGAAAAGAATTTGGTTTCGCTTGCTCTCCAAATATTTCCAAACGAGAAAAAGAACACATCCCAATTTTTTTTTGAATAAGCTCCAAATATGCACCCTAGACCTGTTAGGTGTCCTGCACCTGTTTAAATAAGAGATCTCTACCACATAACTTTCAAATAAAAACTGAGTCTGCCTAATTTCCTTGGCAATACAAACATAATTAGTCAGAAAGGAAAACATATTGCACTGAAATTAAAGAAAGAGGGACAGTCAAAATTTTCTTCTCAGTATTAAATAGGAAGGATGTCCAGTGCAAAGAATCGCTCCCTCCCTTTCCTTTCCCGTTGACACTTGCAAACATTGTCACTGAGTTTAGACGATCTTGGGTTTACATTCTATGGGAAACAGTTGCAGCTACTAGGAATCACAGTGCAGTTTCTGTTATGCATAATCCTGAGGAAGCATCCAAGGAGGAATCTGTGGCAAGCTGGCCATTCTGAACCACTTCCGGGTAATTCCTACTGAAGTACACCTAGGAAAAATAGCAGATTCTGTGAGTAATTGCACATCAAACACCTTTTAGTTTCAAATAACATTTCTGGAGATAAATAGAGGAGAGATAAATACATGTCCTTAAGGAGTTCCAACAGGAACTTCAGGTTAGTGATATTCAGTAACTGTATGTCACTGAAAAATTAGTAAAATTACTTATATGATCTTACATTATAACAAAGCATGAGAAAAATCCCACACAACCTGTAGATCCACTCAGATTCTGGTAATTCAGATAAATAGATACGTTTCTTCACTTTACATTAAACTGATAAGTAAAATCATTTTACTAGCTCAAAACATGGAGATAAATTAAAAACAGGACGACAAAGAAGCTGTGAAATCCTGCGTCTGCACAAGGGTTTCTCATTTTCACACACAAAATGAACACAATGGATTTGGATGTTAATATCAGGTTGTAATCCCTGTATTTTACAAACTGTGATTGACAACCATTGAAACTTCGAGGTATATGTATGAAATATCCCAGCGTTTAATTTGTGCTGCAGAGCAGTTATAGGGCCTATAGAAATGTGATCTCTGGATAGTGAACCACAATAATGAAAGAAGAAGCAAAAGCTTTAACAAAGACTCAACCAAGCAACTTCTCTAAAATGTAAGATGATACCAAATAATAGGACAGTTCTTTGCCAAGCCTTTGAGTTCCTGAATTCTCCCAATTTCTAGCTCAACTAGAAGAGATACAGGTTTTCTGATAAATGTATAATCAGAACATAAAGGAAATGAAATGCTGTCAAGTTTCACTGTTCCACAATCATCAGTTTTTAGTAGCTGTATCATATCTCTGTTCCTTGACAGATGCGCATAACAAAATGAAATAATGTCAAGACTTGTGTGCTCTTATCTAAAAATGTGTTTGGGTGAAAAAGGACTTCAAATGCAATTTTTTCAAAGAAGAATGTGAAAAGTTTTGTTTGAGTCTTTAAAAACAGAAAATACGCTATCTTTCTGAAAGCTGACACATGTCACGAGTTAGGTCTCGTAGTCAGACTGCTATGACTACGGCTTATGAAACATTTCTCCAATTTATGTTTGAGAGTGTTGTCAACAAAGTTCAGTATGTTTGATAACAATGTCCTTTTCATGTATATGAATACATGTATAAGACACGCGGGATAAAAAAGAAACAGTCATTCTACACAAACATTCCCGTAAGTACCGCTGTCGTCTTGTGTGCATGCAACGCTAACGCAGGATATATGCACCTTCACAAGTTTCAGAGAATATTAAGGTCTGATTGGAATCAACCAAAGAATTGGAAGTCCTGTTAAGAGGCCTTCCTCAGTAACCAGCCACGATCAGACGCAACAGAAGGAAGTTAATCAGGCGCCCGCCTGCCCACACGCTGCAGAGATGGCAGCCCCAGTGGTGTATTCCCATCCCACTCCTGGTTTAAAACATAAAACTTTGGCATACTTTTAATGCAGCTTTTGAACATGATTTTTTTTTTCTTTAACAGAAAGTTAATAGAAAATCTTGGCACATTACTAGAGACATAATGAAATGGCAGCTGCTTTTCAACTGTCTCATTGCAATTCTTCCCCTGAGCCCAATCCCTCAAGATATTAAATGCCCAAGTCTTTATACAAGTTTCTTCCACTGCCAACAGAGCTGCAACCTTGTTAAAAGCAATCACTGAGGTGAGATAACACCTAGTATTTTAATATTTACACATCTGTCATAGCTTTAAAGTAAAATAACCCTTATTTTCCTCAAAGGATTCAAAAACTGACTGACAGAAAACAAGCCCTATCCCGATGCCACCAAAGCTTGCAGAAAAGCCTCTCAACGCTGCCAAGAGCGTGGAGAACACACCAACTTTTGTTCATCTGAGTAATTGGGCACTTTTTTCCCACCTTTTTAACTGTTTGATGACTATTTCTCACACTCCCACCAGATTTTCTAACAGCTTCCTCTAAACTGAGCAAAGACAAAACCACAGGCTCACAATGCCGAGCACAACGCTATCATAGTGAGCCTCGCAGGGCAGTTAGCACACACTCTCCCATTCAAGCTGTGCCTGCACTCTTTTCTTTGATATTTGCACAAAAATCAGGGATACTGAATGAGCAAGAGGGACATTCAAACAGCAGCATCGGAGCAATTCCGAAGCCTGATCTAAAGTTCCAGCAACAGCAGGATCTTGCAATGCTCAGCTAAGACATTCACGAGATTTTTTTTTTTTTTTTTTAATTAGGTTGTTCCAAATATGTCCAAGTTACTCTTCCAAATTAAGATGTGTAGTCCCTCCTCATTTACACTTAAAGGATACATCCAGAATCCATACTGTTCCAGGAAATGCATTTAAGGTTTCACCTTACTGAAAGAAGCTCTTGGTACAAGTTTGTTCTGCGCAAGGTTCAGGTCCAAAGTGCAATAAATCACAGTCATTGCCAAAGCATGGCCACGATCCAAACCATTTTATTTAGCAACTCACTGTAACGCCTTTTGAAAAGTGTGTATATATGTCATATTACCATTTCTTTTTATGTGCAGCATGCTGTTTTTCAACAAGAGAAGAAAAGCTGTTCTTCATAAAAACAGTTCTCAGTAACCACAGCAGAAAAAAACCAACAGCAACACATGTAACGGACTTGCTAGTGTAAAAAGAAAAGCCACTGGAACCAGCTCTTCTGACTAAGCAACTTCTCTGGAAGTAAGCATGAAGCACAAGGGACAGCAATAACAAAAACCTTGAATTAACGTCCAAGTCCTTCAAACAGAAACAACTGTAACTGTGCTTCTGGGTAGCTGCTAACTGGAGATACAGTCTCTCGATTCCCATATTTTTGGGCTGAGTGTGGATAAGCACCATGCTTTGCATTCTTGGCAGATGCTAAAGCTTGTATCTGCCTTCTAGCCTGGGAGTTAGCAAACTTTTTCATCAAACCACATTTCAGCAGAGACTGGTTCCTGGATCTCTTCCCTTCCTGTACAAAATCACATAACATTGATGTGGTAACTGCAGATGACTATATGGGCAAGTAACATCAGGCAATCATTTTTATATATTTTGAATTATCTTTGAATGCAATTGTGCAACTGGGGAGGGCTGCAGGGAAGGAAGGAGAGAGAACATGACATGGCTAAATCTCTACCGATGACAGACGGACAGCCTCACCTCTTGCCTTTCCAAGGATCAAGCCTTACGAAGCTGGTCTTCACTTTACGAACACTAGACATATAATTTGAAGCTCTCCTTTTAAACACCATTTATATAATCTCCAGATTGTCACACATGTACCATAAAAAGCATGGCTAACCCATTCCTTTCTAGTAACGAAATACAAGAAGCTACACGCAGCAATGGAGAAGGACAGCAGGACTCATTACAGTCTAGTTAAGGACAGAGATTTCCTGAGTTCCTACAATTAGTGCCACACATGAATTTACAATGTGCACTCTCAACTGCAAAGCTTCACTTGAAAAACTCAACAAAACAAAACAAGGACATTTTAGTAGCTCTACAAAAATTCCTAACAATATAAACATACACAGAAATCTCCTCCCTAATTCCAAGAAGTCCAGGAAAATAGCCTCCGTAACAGCAGCACAGTTTTGTGGTTTTTTTTTTTTTTTTTTTTTTTTAAACAACTTGTGGAAATGCATCTATTTTTCCTAGGTAATAGCCCAGCACCTGTCATTTTGTTTCCTGGATCTGTTTTGCTTCCTGCCATTTGCTTCCTGCTGTCCTCCCATTTCCCCAGGAACAGTTTGGAGTTTATGTTCCCCTAGCTCTGCTCCACACATCCAGCAACTTAAGGACAGGAAAGCATAGAGGCTAGAGCTCGGACCTTTGCCTCTTGCCTTGAAAAGGCTCTCCAAGGTCTCTCCATGTCCAATATTGGCGCCTTACTTGCACACTGAAAGTGAAGTTACATGACTGCGAAGCAAATTGCTGTCAAACTGAGCAGTGCCCGTCTCAACTGAAGCAGCTGAAACTTCATTGCCAATGAGAGAAATAAAATCTTGCTCTGGACGTCCCATGTGGTAAATTATCAAGAAAAAAAGAAATGAAGCCAAAAGCTAGTCAAAATGAGTTCCTTAATCAGAGGTCATTTTTTTAATCTTCTTATCTCTGCTGCTGCTTTCCATCTGAAAGTGGAGATGATACAGCCTCACCTCAGAGGCGTATTATGAAAATTAATCCATTGATTAAACACTCTGATTGCCAGAGGAATGCTCACAATTACATTAATAATGCTGTACTCAGAGTAGGATTTGAATAGTAAGCAGTAAATGAGACACAGAGCTTTGTAGGGAACAAGGAGGCAACAAAACATTCAACAGCTGTTTTTCAATTGAGCCCTGCTCATCCTATGTGCACAAGTGAGCAAGGGTACAGGAACAAAGGAAGAGAAAGCACGGAAATGAGAAGGTGATCACATCCCCAGAGACCATAATGTAACACACAGGTTCTGAACCTCAAACTAAAATTTGATGTGCCCTTTTAAAAATATAGAAATAACAGAAATGCTGGGCTTTGCAGTTTTAACAGGTTTCATAGCAAGTTTTTATGAGATCAGTGCCCAGCACAGGTGAGTATGTCACGTATTACACTTAGTGTTTTGTGTACATACAGAAGGATGCAAGAAATCCACAGTCTTTCAACTCGGGGTATATAAACACACTTATCATTTGGAAGTCTGTCTATATCCCACTAAAAAAAGCACTGAAAATGATACCTTTGCCTTGCAGTGGAAGGCTTACTTAACACCGAATATGCTAACTTGAGATAAACTGCAGGGACAAACTTCATTATCAGTTCTTCTAAAATTACCCGTTTTGCTGTTTCCATCAGAGAAGCCGCTTCAGTCTTGCCCACTTGTTGCACCATTTTGTAAAACAAGCCATCTTGTTCTTGCAGCAAAACGTAAGGTTCCCCATATTCTTTCAGTCTTCCTGCATCCAAAACCTGTTAAAATCAGCAGAAAGCAACGTATTAACATAAGAAATTAAAAACAAATGTGAGAGACTACAAGCAACAGGGGAATGTATGCACTTTAAGTGCAAAGATGAATTTTGTATCCTGAAAATGAAATACGTCCTCTTCAAACAAGCATAGCACTTTTTCAGTTTACAGACCTGTTGTACAATTTTAGAGTGCCCTACAGCCATTCCACCTATAGGAATCCAATGCAAAGTTATGCAGAATATGGAAATACAGTGTTTGTGAAGCCAACAAAACAGATTATAAGACTCATTGTGTAAGAAAGAAACAAAGAGGCCTAAAATGGGCTCTGAAGTAAACAGCTGTGGGTAAAAACCACGCAATAACCACCAAGACGGTTAAGGGAGAATAAGTACGTCTTTTGGATTAGAGGAGGTGAAGATGTAATTAAAGAAAATGAAGGCGTTGCTGTAAAGATAAACAATTTCTTGCATCAGTTTTTGCCAACTACGTATTAGCAAGATACTTACCCTGAACCTATTCTTTCTACATAAAAAAAGATGAGATGCCACCAGGGACATAGGTACCAAAGAGAGGAGGGTAGAAGGTAAAAAAAAAAAACCAACAGAAAAATTAAAAAGGCATTAAGTCAGTAAGCCATCAAGGATACATACAGTCAAAACTTAGAAGATTTTAAGAATAAGCTGATTGAACCTTTAAGAAAATATTCTCATACTAGTGACTCTAAGGACTGCATGGTAGCACACACTGCACTTCATATTCTGAAAAGTTTTACGGGATTATTCAAGGAGTTTGTAGGCCAGCATATATATATTTTAGAGAAGGAAGCAGCTTAGTCAAAGCAATCATTAAAACACAAGTAGAGATCACAGGTGGTATTTGTTCCCCAGTTTTAGCAGAAGTAAATCGTACCTCCCAAATCTGATACGATTCTTAATGCACCAAGAGAAAAGGAAACGAGATATGGTTTATATGTATTTCCAGAAAGGTATCTGGTGTAACTAAACAGCTATGCTACAAGGAACAAATGTTTTTCAAGAATCTGGCCAGAAAACAGATTAGAAATAAACAGTGCATTTTTCTTTGCGGAAAGCTGAACAGGTAGGAACTGGTGGGAGCCACAACATCCTCGCATGCGGTAGCTATGTATGTCAGTCATCAGAAAAAGGAGTTATTAGAGAGGTGACAAACCTGCAAATGACATAAAAAATGTGCGGGTAAGTCTAGACCAGAGGAGATTCAGATACACCTAACTAACCTAAGAGAATAAGAAACACAATAGTGGGGAAAAGTCAATATTGACAAATGCAATACGCTCAAACACTTGACTGGCTGACAAATTAATGGTATTGACTCAAGAAGGAGATCTGGGTATCAGTCTGCAAGTTCAGTATTTTAGTCCATGTGTAGAAGCAGTGAAGGTAAAAAAACGAGAAGTTATGTGAGAAAACAAAGTAATTCAGAAATATTTTTGTTCTTATATAAATACAAAACTGAATATACATACTGTTGAAAAAGATACTGCCACAACAGACAGACTTCAAGGACTAAGACATAACTGTGGTATGCATACTTGTAAGGAAAACAAAACAAGCTAAAAAACTTGAAATCAAGAAAGAAATTAATAAAAGGTATTATGAGGATAACTTCTAAAATAACGAGTGCAGTTTGAAAACTTGTGTTTGAAAGAAGAAAAAGTCATATGAGGAAGCTTTCAAACGTGCAATTTTTGCCCATGCAACTATTTAAAGCAAAATATCCTGACGGCCCAGAGCTAGGCACATCTCCAAGCGGCATGGATCCCCATTAAGGACAAAGCCCACAGTGAAGCAGGACAGCTGAGCTGCTCCCCTTGCCTGCACTGGTGCGGAAATCAGATGGTGTCGAGATCGCCGTCGACTTGTCTGGCACCAAGGACCCCGCACCAGGGGAAAGGCACCCATTCCTCTGCTTCCGGTTCAGTTAAGTACATGGCATTTGAATGGAAAATAACTCAGCCAACAGCAGCGGCATAATTGCATCTCATTTTATAAATCACATGAACAGAAACCTACAAGAAGCTATTTGCTATTTTCAAAAGCTTATACTATGATTTTGCTTTGCAAGATTTTTCCAATACTGTTTGGTATACAGCTGAAAAAACTGCTCATGGAAAAAAATTAAAATAATAGTAACACTGCACAGCACAATATATACTAATTTAACATACCACAGAGGCAGCATTTCACCTGCAAAGATATACTTGTGCACATGTTGATTTTTCAGGGTACTTAGTCCTATACCACTTAATCTGAATATTTAAGGATTAATTAAAACTATGACTTTAATCACAACCTGCTACATACTATAATATGTCACAGTTAAGGACAGCTTCCTTAAAAATGCAATAAATTAATTTATCCTATCCAGTTCAATAATGAAATTGGGGTGCCACAGCATAGGACACCTCTGGTGTCTGGAATAAGAACTCAGCATAGCACTAGATTATGTAATCCCCCTTCAAGAAAGAAAACAAAAGGCATCTTCATTAAACGTCTCTCACAAGTAAAGAACTACAATGGAAAAGTAGAGGGTTTTAAAAAAATTTGTATTACTGTGGTATTTCAATTTTAACACTAATTTTGCAAATATCTGAAACAACCACAAACGCAGACCTCGAGAGAACCTGGGAGGGAAAAAGGAAAAATTTATTCTTCCTTGACAAGTTTTAAACAGCCAAGTCCAGAAGATGAACAGATAGAGCGAACGATTTGTGCCTAGAAAAATTCCATTCACATTTTAAACAAATCATTAATCTATTCATATTCTTTCTTGGGGAATAAAACCCAACTTGTGTTATGAAAACAAACAGAACAAACACAGGGAAAACAAGCCATGTTACTTTAAAAAAAAAAAAATCTGAAATGAAAAATAAAGAAACAAACTGAACAGACGATTTTCATTCCTCCAATTCAGGAATACTCTATAAATCCTATTCACCAAGGAAAAACACTGTTTCTACTAACTGCTGTCATCTACCAGACAATGGAGAAAATTTAAGCTGACTTACCTGGTAGTTATACATTTATTAAAAAGCACGTAGACAAAGAGATAGGTACTTTTCTTTGAAGAAATATGTGCTGATAAAATTTAAATAAATAAATAGGTACTTTGGCTAAGGCTTTGCATACTCTTACTCACTGACTCCAAGCCAAATTAAAATCATTAGGGCTTCAAAAAGCCAGCTAATCATTCAGGAAAGGTGGAATCTGGTGTTTACCAGCCACATATTTTCTGATCAACTTGCATACAATGCTTATCACTGCACAATATGACCGAATCGAACCCAGATGCGTTCCAAGGCAGTTGTACCAGTGGAACTTGATACAGAAAAGCCAGAGAAGCTTGTAGCTGGCGAAATCAGATTGGCAGGGTGATTATGGAGCACACGCAGGAGCACAAGACTCTGAATCAGACTGGATTTCATTACAGACTGTAATGCAGATATTGAGAGAGGGGGATTTTGGACAAGTCATTCAACTTTTCAGCTCCTCGGTCTGACTCTTCGTAAAATACCCCAAACAAAGACTTATAGTAATTCTGTGGGAGTTAACTGCCTGTGAAATACTTAGACAGCCCAGAGTAAAACAAACACAGAAAAGCTATATAAACCCAGAACTGTCATACATAAACCAGGGACCGATTCTCCACTATCTTGCAGCCACAGCTTCTTTTACCTCACCTGCACTGTCCTTGTCTCTGTAGTCACATCCTATTACTTCAACAGGATTTTCTCAAGTGGAAGACGAACTCCAACAGTAGAAAATTTACAAAACTGGCTGTTGGTGATCATGCAAAAGAAAGCACGCAGGAAAACTCTTATTCAATGGATTTTGCTCACGTCCCTGTGTAAGGTAAAACTGCTCTTTACTTACAGTTCTCCAAATTAACCTTACTCAAGCAGCACTGTGCAGACATCTTAAGTTCAAACAGGGCTCAAACGCTATATTCTTCTTGACTAAAATCCTCTCATGCTACCTACTTCCACTCCATCTAATGCTTCATCCCAGTGAATAGTCTGGGGCAGTGACTGCTTATCCCAGTTGTTGTTTTTTCAGAAGGCAGGGGTAGAAAGCAACAGTTTTGAACACCACTTTGCTTGACACAGAGGCACAGAATAACAAAGATAAGGTATTAAAAACATGGCAGGGAAGGACAGTGAAACGTAAAAGCAGTATTTCAATTTGACTGACCTGCAAAGGCAAACATGAAAACTGAGTATTAGCCATTTAAATGTGTTGTTTATGTTAACCCTAGTTAGCACAGAAGGACTATTTGCCTACACCACAAAAATGTTGCTGAACTAAATTTGTATAAGATACGGCAACTACAAAATAGTTGTCGTTTTTTCCCCATAGCTACCCTACCACGGTACCTACTGCCACTTTACCTAGGCCCCCCCAAAAACCCCAAACTCGGCAGTACTTCTATTCCATAGCCTCACAGTTTCATGTATTAACCATGGAAAAAAAGCGGGGAAGACAAAAAAGAAAACATAACACGGAGAAAAAGAAATCAGAGATCCATTTCACAAAGAAAAGAGACAAATGAGACCATGAATGACAAGGATTCTATATCAAGAGAGTCCAGTTTCCAGCAGAGACCCTGGCAGCAGAACCAGGACAGCACCTTTCCTCCCTGACAATTACTGCAACTCACCTATATTGTTCTGTTGCACAAGACTTTGGAAAAGCAAACATGAATTTTGGAAGTGAATTTAAAATCTTCTCTGAGAACTGACTCTTGGAGAGGGACTTTTACAAGGGCCTGTAGTGACAGGACAAGGGGTAACGGGTTTAAACTCAAAGTGGGGAGGTTTAGATTGGATATCAGGAAGAAGTTCTTCCTGGAGAGGGTGATGAGGCACTGGAACAGGTTGCCCAGAGAAGCTGGGGATGCCCCATCCCTGGAAGTGTTCAAGGCGAGGCTGGATGAGGCTTTGAGCAACCTGGTCTAGTGGAAGG